GTGATAGTGTGATGGCGGGGAAATGCAGTGCGCACTTCCGCGGTTGCCTTGTGGTAGGCCTCGGGATAGAGCATCAGATAGTGCAACGCCCAGCTCATAGTCAGCGACGTAGTATCAGTTCCGCCAATCAAGAATCCGATGTTTTCGGCTGTCACCTGTGTCGCAGTCATCTGAACCTTTGACTCGGGATCCTGGCCATCAATGAGAATTTGGAGCACATCCTTGGGTTTCTCGATCTCGCCTCGGCGCAGCTGCTCGCGGCGACGCTCAGCAGCAGCATTTCCAAAAGCCACAAAGTCGTCTCTGCTCTGGATCAGCCGGCGCACTAGCAGGTTTACGGGGAATGATGTGGCACGATCATAGACTACGCGGGCCACAGCTAGTTTGTTGTAGTCGTTGACCCAGTCGACGATCTTGGCAGTGTCGTTGCGCAGTGCGTTGAATCGCTGGCCGTAACCCAGGGCGCCAATAATGTCAAACGTAGCCATGGATAAATGGAGCGCATAGCACACGGTAGCCGATCCTCCGCTAGTCGACTCAGCAATTGCCTTGTCCCACTTGGCCTTTATAGCATGGATGCCACACTCGAGGATAGTCGGCTCCATTTCGTTCAGGTATCCGTGCGTGAATGCTGGTCCGACTTGTCTGCGTCGCACATGGGTTAGATCGGCCGAGTGTGTGGTAAACATGGTTTCGTCAATGAGCGCGAATGCTTTATACATGTCGCTTTTAATAAACCGGTGCGTGCTGAGTACTGTGCGGCAGTCTGCTGGGTTGCTGAGGATCACTATTCTGGGGGCCATCATAAATATGTCGCCAAATGCGTAGTAATCGGCCTCGGATACTTCGTACAAACGGCCAAAGAGCATGGTAAAGCGCAATGGCAAAGGCGAGAGACGAAACAGGAGCCGCCCGGGAATGTGGCGGTAGGGCGAGAAAAACAAGTTGTAGACAATGTAACTGCCAGCAATGACGCCTGCTGCACCCACTGCCAGCTGGGCATAGAGCAATGCCTCTTGTTGCCACAGGCGCTCGGCAGCGAGGCGTAGATTAATGAGAATAAGTTCGTAGATGGCCATGTTTGAGATGTGTAGATGATACAAAAGAAAATGAAAGGAGGAAATAAGCGCACGCACTCGATTTCTTATAGGCAATTTTTTGTCGCTACTTAAAGGCAAATACGTCTGCATCAGCATGTGCTAGCAATGTGGTGCGGTGAAAATCGTCCAATTTTTCTTACTCCTCTCCTATGTAGTAGCAAAAATGAGCGGAATGCCGGGGAGGCACATGCGCGCTGACCAGAGATTGACAATCACCAATACTTTCCGCTTTTTACGAGTAAAAATGGTCCGAGCGCATTCAGATTGCGAGCAGGCGACATGTGTGCTTACTGCACTGGGCGAGAAAAAAATAGGCAATGTCAACAATGTCTAAAAGCAATAGCACATAGCTGGGTTTGCAACAACTAGCCACATGCGACCACCACGGCCGAGAGCACTTCAAAAAGAGGCGTACCAACAAATTGGTTTGCTGCCATATATTGCTCTAGGCTCACTTCAATTTGCGCAGCACCGAGCACAACTCAGGCATCGCCAAAAAATATAAAAAAGGAAGCTAAAAAGTATGCCTGCTGCCAGAATTGAACTGACGACCTCTGCTTTCCTCCCGGTTAAAAGTACGAGAGCAGCGCTCTGCCCCTGAGCTAAGAAGGCGTATCTTTTCTCTGATAATAGTAAATTTTCCGAGATTTTATTTGACACTCTTTCTAGCCATTCTCTACCAATAAATGTCAACACCTGGCAGCCGTCTTCATTATTTTGCCGACTCTTCTCTCTCGCAAGAAGCCGACACCTCAAGCGCCTAGAACAATCTTATTTTTACAGATCTGCTGACCACTTCAGACCCTAAAGGATGACGTGTATTCTTTACTTTCTATCAAAAGCTAACCATGTTATTCCTTTAATAATAGTGCCTCGTAGCACCAAAAATAAAATAAAATAAAAATAAGGCAAACGCTGACACCTGCCCACCCCCATCTAGCTGATGCCAGCCACTGCTGCCACCAGCCTGCTGCCTGGCTTTGTGCCCACGTTCGGCCACTTTCAATTACTCCCCGCCCCTGGTCCCACTCCAGCTCTATTTATTCCTGGTGCTCGGGCTGGCCTCATCCACAGAAATCCAGATTACCTACTACCAATGTCATGGCTCCAGCTCACAACTTGCGTGCACCTACAGCTATTGAAAATGGCAAAAGGCCAGTGAGTGAGAGCCTACAAATTAGTAGGCCTGTAATTGTGAGGACAGATATTGTTGGCCAATGAATCGCCAACAGTCAAGACTCGCTGACCCGTTAGTCACGACCAAACCACGTGATGAGCGGACTTGGATTCTCGGATATAGATGCGCGTTTGCTGAGTTGCCCACTCTCCTTTCTGTAGCTTTCTTTGTGGATTCAACGGTTCCGAGCACAAGTTGGAGAATTGGTCGAGTAAATCATTGTCCTGTTTCTTTTTCACTTAACTTTTAGCAATTTATTTATTACACATACCTCTATATCTAACAACGATGAGGAGGCCTACAAAGGCTCGCCGCGACGCCTATAAGCAGCAGAGGGCCTTGGAGCTCGAAAACAATCCCGCTATGACAGTGCCAGAGATCGAGTTGCACTACCCAGGTGCATGCTTGGGGCATATCCCTGACATTGTGGCTCATTGCGCGCAAGTTATTGAACATTGCAATGCACATAAGTTGGTCAGTGACAAAGGCCCAATCTACGGTTTCCGCAGGGTGGGCAAGCATGTTGTCAGTGTCTCCTTCTGGTCCAAAGCAATCCGTCAGATCATGATAGCGCACCCACCAACTATCAATGGTGTGTCCATTCCGTGGCGCACTGGGCAGGGTATCATTTGCCCTATAGTCGCATGCAACATACCTCTAGACAAGTTGGAGGGCCAGATCCATGGTGCCATCTGATCTGTTTGCAATGGCGCTGGCTGCCTGGTATGCGAAAAGCTCCTGGGCTACTTCTGCGCCGACTGGTCAGCACTGATCTACCTCAATGATGGACAGCCGATCCCTACAAGCTTCCAGCTTTATTGTGAAAAGCGTCCTGCGTCGATCTTACCTGCACTGTAAGCTTCTACTTGTGAATGCTGTATTAAAATAATAAAAAGATGAAAAGAAAAAGAAAGAATTGTCTACCGATCAATTCTCCAAAACTTATGCTCAGAGCCGATGACTTTACAAAGGAAAACTATAGAACGAAGAGCAAGCAACTCAGCAAATGTTCATCTGTATCCACAATTCCATCTTCTCATCACGCGTTTTAGCCATGACTTGCTAGTCAGCGAGTATTGATCGTTGGCGCTTCATCGGCCAACACTAGTAGTACATTGTACACGCCAGTGGCATAAATGCTATCCGCTTGTTTTGCTGTCAGCCCGTCATTTTTGCACTCACACTGGCGCTAGAAAGTTGCTACCAACGCAGCGGGTGCGGCTAGTTGAATTCAGATACTGATAATATTGTGATTATAATGAAACTATTGCTTGGATTAAAGGGGCTCAAGGCTCATCTGCGCGAACATGTCCTCAAGCTTGTCGTGATTGTGGTCGCGGATGTCGCTGCGCTTAAGCTTCATCGCTGGCGTCAACCTGTCGTTCTCAGGAGACCAAAGCTCCGAGTCAATGCGAATGGCAGCTAGCGTTTCCTGCTTAGACAAGTTGTTGCGCTTAGCTACTTGCTGCAAATCAGCCAAGACATGAGCGACAAACTGCTTGTCAGATGCAATCTCCGACGGATTGTTGTAGTGAACTCCGGCTTCGTCAGCCATATGTGCAATCAGGTTCTCGTCAATGTTGACGATGGCGCAAGGTTGGGTCATGCGCGAGTCAGCGAACACGCAGATGTTGTGGATAAAGAGCGAGTTCTTGTAGGTCGACTCGAGTGCCTCCAGAGCAATGTACTCGCCGCTAACAAGCTTGACTAGGTTCTTTCTGCGATCAATAATGGAGAGCTGCCCCTGCTCTGTCCACTCGCCAATATCGCCGGTCTTGAGCCAGCCGTCCTCGGTAACCGTCTCCTTGGTCAGCTCGTCATTGTCCAAGTATCCCTTGAAAATCGAGGGACCGCGAATCCAGACCTCGCCCTGGCCGTTCCGCGCAAAGTACTTGGCTTCGGGCACGTCGACCAGCTTCATCTCAACAGACGGGCACGGAGAGCCAACATTGTTGAACGATGAGTCGCTCGGTAGCTGAACAGCAACCAGGCCCGAGGCCTCGGTCAGCCCAAAGCCCTGAATCATCGGACACAAGGCAGCAGTCATGAGCTTTTGTACGTTGCGGTTAATCGGGGCACCGCCGGTAATGACAAACTTTAGGCGTCCGCCGGTAGCCTCGCGAGTCTTTTTGAACACGATGCTGTCCATGAAATTGTGCGGCATGTTGTACCCGCGCAGCGTATTCTTGAGCTCAACTGCACTGTAAAAGAGCTTGCGCACGAGCCAGCTGCTCTTGTCGACTTGCTTGAGCATGCCCGCGCGAATCGTGTTCCACACCTGGGGGACCCCCAGCATGACCATGGGGCGCAGCGCCTTGATGTCGCCCTGGCACTCACGCACGCTCTCGTCGGTCAGCGTGCGCGGTGTGCCATAGCCCACAGCCAGGCCCGAGTAAATGCAGTACACGTCGACAAAAAAGGCCAGGACGTGCGAGAGTGGCAAGTATGAGAGCACAACGTCGTTGTAGAACTCGAGGTACGGCTGGATAAACTCGTGGATGCCGCCAGCGACCGACATGACGCCCTGGTGGCTGATCAGCACGCCCTTGGGCTTGCC